ATTGTCAGCAAAGACCATTGATTTCATCTGAGTTTTATGAGGACAGCTCTTGCACCCCCTGCTGAAAGGCCAGTGCATTCCTGTTTCCCTTCCCTTTCCCTTTCCACTTATACCATTCTTCTTCCCATTATATCAGGCTTAACTAGCAAGCTTTTTAGTAAACTCTGCCCTACTCCTTTGGTTAGGAATGTGGGTTCATTCTCCCCCAACTACCAGATGGGTGTCCTTCAGCAAACTGCCTAATTGCCCCAGGCTTCGGTCTCTTCACATGGCACATATCACTTAAGGCACTTTGAACATGTAAAGTTCTGTGTCTGGCCCATTGTTAAGACCTAGGAAATAGTTATTATGACTCCATAATTCCCCAAATCTCTCTCCTGCCTGCCCCCTCCCATCTGTATCATTGGCAGCTGCATTGCTCTCAATTTTTCCTTCTCCCTAAGTTCTTCTTCCCAGTGGGAGATAAAAGTAGATGGGTTCCCACTCACCAGGAGCATGTCATATCTAGAGACAACAGGAAATTTATGACCTCCTTCCATAGTTGTAAGTTTCTTATTGTAACACCATAGAACCCCAGTAGTCCTATACCCAAACAGGAAAAAAAAAGTGTATCTCTCTGAAATAGAACATAAAACATGGTATTTCATGAAGCCAGTTCTTAATTATGAAATCTAAGTCACCATCTTATTTACTGTGCAACAGACTAGTTTGTTGCTTTTTTTTAAAGGAGGAAATCAAAAGCAAAGATACTCTGTGAGGACCACCTTGTGGAGAGACCTACCACTACCTCATCACTTTGGACCCTGCCAATCTGTTCCCTGAATGCAGATTTAATGTGGCTGGTTCTGGGAACAGAGCACTAAATGGACAAATCCCTGGCCTCATGGAAGCTGCTTTCTAGTGGGAAAACTGGAGAAACAAGATCATTAAGGGAAATACATAACATATGAGATGGTAGTGTGTTACAGAGAACAATTAAGTAGGCGAGAAGGTCAGGACATGGGGGCTGCAATTTAAAGTCAAATGAACAAAGAAAGCCTCACCAAAAAGGTGACATTTGATAAAGGCTTGAGAGGAAGGGGTGGTCATGCAGTTACCTGGGAAAGGGCCATGTAGTTAGAATGCCACATGCAAAGCCCTAAATGGATATACGCTTGGTAAAATTGAGGCATAGCATTAAGGGCAATGCCCAGAGCATGAAGGAGATGGCAGGAGATGAAGTCAGAAAGAAAGCAGAGGCCAGATCACATGGTCATAGTAAGGATTCAGTTTCTACTCCAGAAGACACAGGAGCTTCAAGAGGCCATAAACAGAGGAGTAAGATGATCAAGCTTCCTTTTTACAGGATTGCTTTGATTGAAGGAGGCAAGGGCAGAATTAGGTGATTTAGCCTTTAGTCTCTGCCCTGGGCCCCGTGCTTTAGGAGATCCTGCATAAAACAAATACACAACATGTAAACTTATGATAGTACCTAAGGCATCTTTCTTAGAGATCAGGGTTCAATTCTGGTGCAGCATAGCCTGCAGGCCTCAACATGTACTCCTATGACTACCATCTTTCAGGTCCTGAACAAACTCTCCTCCACACCACTTGCCTTAAACACATCAAAGAAAAGATAACTGCCTCCAAAACGCCATCACAGCTAGTGATTGGATTGCTGCGAACATGGGAGATGGCACTGCTTTGGAGTGGGGGGGAGATTTGAGCAATGGATGTGCTTAATTAAGAGAAACACAACTTACCAACTTCCTCTTGGAGAGCATAAATGCCATAGATAGCAAAGATTACATCCTACTTGTGCTGAGCATTCATTTTCTAGCTTCTTTGTGTTCTAGTTCATCATTTTTGAGATACTCATGAACTGCCCAGTGTTTGAAACAGCTGCATACTTAATAACTAGGAATAGTAAACAATTCATATCTAAGTTTTATTTATGCAGTCCAGATGCAAAATTCATGATGGATCTAGATTCTAAAATGTTATTTTAAGAGCTGATGAAAATGGCAAAATAACTGATGGAAGTTTAGATGAAGAAATTTAAATATTTTGCAGGATTGTTTACAATACTGATAATATATCATATGCAACCCCAATTACAGTATTTGAGTATGATATGTAAAGTTCATGGTTCATTTCCAAACTCCATTGTTAATTCAGCTGAGCAAACTTTCTCCAAATTGGAATTGGTTTTTAAAACTAATTTTTAAAATACATTGATACAACAAAAGTGGTCTAATTTGATAAAATGCCAATAGAACATGAATTATGTGCAAAGTTGGTTATGAAAACATGTAGTTGCTGTAATTAAGTTTTAAAAATAACACCTATAGGATAGACAGTAATTCATGAATTAAACATCTCTTATTAGTCAATGTGAACATCACCTGCCCACTGATAGAACACTCTGAGAGGCACCATAGCGACTCAGTCATTGTTGGTATTTTACTTATTGTCCTCATTTAAAAACCATAGATTTTTTTTAACTTTTTCAACAAAGAAGTGTAAAGAGAGAAAACATATTTTAAGTAACTCTGGTAATAACTTGATTCATAAATGTTAACTATTTAAGTACATATTATGTTAGGCCCCACTTACATTTTGGCTGTGGACCCTTGTATCTTAGGGGAATCCAGTTTGGAGGTTATTGCAATAAATAATCCAGGCAATGAATGATGGTGGTTTGACCAGGGTGATGGCAAAAGAGATGTAAGAAGTCTTCAAATTCTAGGTACTTTCTGAAGGAAGCACCAAAAGGATTTCCTGACAGACTGGGTTTAAGTATGAAAGGGAAAAATCCAATGATACAAGGTTTTTAGCATACACACCTCTGGCAAAAGTTGAGTTAGAGTAGGATGTGGGAGCAGCAGCTTGCTGAGAATTTCAGAAGCTTGGTTTTGTCATGTTAAGTGTGAGATGTCGGTTTAACTCAGAGTTTAATACTCCAAGCAAGCATCCAGAGAAAGGTCTGTTTATTCGGCAGTGATTAAGGTAACAGCAGGGCAGGGTTTGTATTCAAGTCCTTGGGATGGAAGGGACCCACTCTATTTCTGTGCTTTTAACAAGATGGGAGACATGGTATACTTGAAAGAATGGGACACTGTTGTGACGCTTCTCCACCATCGTAGCAGAAAGTGTTAGAAAGAGCCTAGAAGCCACCTCCCAAAACCATCCCAAAGGCTAAGAATTCCTTTGGTTTGGATGCTACCCAGAAAATGTTCATAATTAACCACCAGTCCTATATCCTAACCCTAAGCTTTTAACTTCAGCCTTCCTATAAAATGTTTACCGCAAACACACATGGAACACACTGTAGGATAAGTCCTCCGTGAACCGCCACTCCCCTATGGCCCCCTGCCCAGCTGCCTTTACATCACATCCTTTGACGTGGTTTTTCTTCCATCTTCCTAAGCCAATTGGCTCTCAGCCTCCCCAAATCCAACCCAATGATGGAGAAATCATAAAGAAGAAAAAAAACCTATCTATATACAGAGAGAGAAAACTCAAAGTTCCTGAAACTCTTCATTACCCCATCCTCAAATTGGAAATGAATGAAAATTCCAAGTGCAAGCATCACTCTTTTAATCACTTGTGAATTATCGTGCTCTCCCTCTGACAAGCACAAGCAAAGCCACAATTAAAGCAATATTGCAATCTAAATTGAGAAGAACTGCTGAAAGAAGGGGGAATGTCAAGAGTAAACTTTACAGAAGCCTGCTGGGTAATCTTCAGATGAGAAACTAAAGCAACATTTCTAAAAGCGGCATCTTACAAAGAATGCTGTCCCACAGCATGTTATTTGGTGAGTTCTATCTTCAAAATAAATGTGGGATCATTGGATGAAACAAAATTTAAAACATTTCTTTTCTGCAGGACGGCAGAGACTACACTAACATACTTTATGAATCTTCAAGAGGGAAATAAAGAAAATACCATTTCCAACATTTGTTTAGCTCATAATAATACCTTCCAGAAGGGTTTTCCTCTGAACAGAGTCTGAGAAACACTATTTTAATGTATGTGAATACATACATATATGAACATATGATATACATACACATATGTACGCACACATATATATATATACACATATAGGAATCTCAAAAGTGAGTGATGTTTTTCAGTTTGTCGCTCAGAGCAAGACTGGAAAGATGCCCATCACCCACTCCCTAGGATTTGAAAATCTGCATAACTATATTCCTTCATTAAACCAAATTCAATTTGGAGTCAATAAATTTGCTTCTTAAAAAATGAAGCTGCTGAATTATTATATATTCACAGTTATTAAATATATTGCAAGTGAATTCCCAAATACCCACCGGTTACAGCAGTATTATCATTGAATAATCAGAATTAATTATTACAGAGATGATGGTAATAAGGCCAAAGAATTTATCCAAATTAAATGCTCTTCCATGAAGAGCTGAAATTTTAGATAAAAAATGATTAAATTTTCCCCTTGAATCACTGGGGGACATTCAGTTCTCCAAAGCAAAATGACATGATGAATGGATGGATCTTTGCTATTACTAAGCAATACCTTTTTCAACTTTATTTTTGTCTTTTATTCAGCATACAAGTCCATATAATATGGATTTTTTATATGTAAACCTTTACACACTCACAAATTTTAAAGATATTTTAGCTAATCTTTACCCTTCTTTGTGCATTTTCCCGAAATTGAACTAACATGAGAATAGTTCCATTTTGTTGATGGGCAGGTCTCCCGACAGCATTAGAAACTATGGAGAAATACCTGCCCATCGTCTGTCAGCTGTTAGCCTCACATTCACACAGAAAAGAGTTACACACATTTATGTGAGATGCAAAAGATATTTAGTAAGAATATATTTATTAACTACAAATCTCATTCATATATTTATACACAAGTATTATTTAAATGGCATGAGAAATGTTATAATGCTAAAAGAAAAAAGCTACCTATAAAGTTAGTAGACATCTGCTCTAAATACATATAAATATCTTTATTTAAAAAGCTGATGTCTTAAAATAGGAATAGCAATTGTAGGTAATTTAATTTTTTCTTATTTTTTCTGTATTACTTTTATAATCATGAAAAAATGATGAAGGTTATTTTTTTAAAAGAGCACTACCCCGTGCTACCTGACTGATTCCACTGAGCCCAAATAACAGTATTCAAGACACAGGCTTATGGTGAAATTCCAGGATTTTCCTCTGGGTACAAAAGAAACCCAGTGAAAACGCTGTCATCCTCCGGGCTGACATACACTCCGTTCCAATCTTTTGAAACTTCCAGCCAGACTTGGTCCCCTGCACTTAACTTGAGGATGATGAGGAGAGAGGCCTGGTCGATTTCATGACCAGAGAGTGTTTCTCTGGACTTGAACTGCTTCTTGTTCCAGGCCACCAGACCAATCCGAGCAGGCCGGCCCCTCACAGTGATGTGGTAAGAAAAAACATAGGCCCCAGGAATGCTGCAGTTAAATTTCCCGGTGACGGGGCTGTAACTCCCTTGATCGTTGTAGAGAACCTTGTCAAATTTGATCGGGAGGTTGGGAGGAGGGAAAGGCTTCGATAAAGCCGCGCTGAAAGCTGACTGTGCCGTTCTGGCCGCCTCCCCATTGGAGCCTTTGAAGCCCCGAGAGCCCTTCTTCCCAATAGATCCTCGGACCCCTTTGCTCCCCGGCTCACCCTTCAGCCCCACAGGTCCCTCAGGACCCGGAGGGCCTAACCCTCCCTTCTCTCCCTTAGCCCCGGGATGGCCTTGGGCCCCAGGCAGGCCCTCTGGGCCTCTGTTCCCCTCCATTCCCAAATCCCCCTTGCTGCCTTTCTCTCCTTTCATGCCCTCCTCACCTTTCTCCCCTTTCCCCCTCTTCTCCCCAGAGTCCCCGCAGCAGCCCTTCTCCCCCACGTCCCCCTTCTCTCCCTTGGCCCCAGTCTCTCCGGTCAGGCCAGGGGAGCCTGCAGCCCCTCGGTCTCCTTTGTCTCCTTGGGTACCGTTTGCACACATGTCCCCCTTGGAGCCCTTCTGTCCTTTCACTCCCGCCACGCCAGTGTTTCCTCTGTCACCCTTAGGACCAAGTCCACCTGAAATGGAGAATTAAAATCATGTTTAAGGATCACATAGGCTATGAACAGTATGCTATTATCACAGAACTCACAAAACAGAAACAAAACCTACTAACTGGGCCTGAAAACCTGGTTCTTGCCTCAGGAATGGCTGTACCCAGGAGACTCATACTGAGCCATTCATTTTGTGCTGCTCTCTCATGAGGTGAAGAGTTAATGTTACCCAGAAGCAATGGCTCTATTTAGATCTCAAGTATCTGGCCCTATTTTTTTTTTATCTTTTAAGACAATAAAGAATATTAGAACCATAGTTGCACATTGTATTCCATTGCATTTTGGCCCAACCCACATATTCTCCTAAGTCTCTGTATAGTCCATCCAAACTCAAAATCTTAGAAGCAAATAAACTGAAACCCAGAAAGATAAGGGATCTTTTTCCCAAGGACAGCTAGAGAGAGGAGCAGAGCTCACACACTATTACTGAGTCTCCAAATCCCTAGAACAACGATTGTTACACTCGGGCCAGTCAGTAAACAGAATCACTAAAATAGTGATAGCAATTTATATTTCCATCTTACTTCCATGATAATTTTAAATGCACACAGGAAGGAAATCAGGAGCTGTGCTGCACAGGTGATAGTATACAAAGGAGAGAGCCTATACTCTACCTGGCTCTCCGGGCTTTCCTGGGTATCCTGAAACTCCGCTTGTTCCTTGGTCCCCACGGTCTCCCTTAAGTCCTAAAATAATACCAAGAATAACCTTCTGCTAACTGTATTGGTTATGATATAACTAACATCCATGTCACATTCCAGTGCTTCCTTTACCAAAATGTGTAAAGTTAAAGCAGAAAAAGAACTTACTGAACATCATTAGAAATACTTTGTTCCAATTGATGGTAAATCACTTGAAGGAGATTTTGGGGCAGTGCCAATCTCTTCAAACAGAATCCAGCTTCTCCTTGGCATTCCCATACCTCTTCAAATCACTCACAAAACTCATGACATTCTGCCTTGTGTTATGCATGTATGCGTATTTTTCCTATTATGAATATTGAATGACAGTTAAAATGCCCTCTTCTTTAAATACCCCACAACGCCTGAGAAATTGTGTCCTGCAACATGTAAGCTGAAATACAGAGCACAACATTCTGCAGTTGGCTACAACTAATCGTAACAAAAACCTATCCAGGAAAAAAAAAATAGAACATCAAGGAAAGGCCAGTTTTCATTTTGTTTGGAAAATTTTTCAATACTCATCAGACAAATTTTAGAACTGTGAGAATTTGTGTTTGAAAAGAATCTAAAGATCTCAGCTTTTAGATATTTGCCATATTACCAAAAAACAGATTTTTATATTGGGCCTGGGTAAAGGTCTATCCTGTTACAGTGCAGCCACACTAGATTTATTTTAATTGCAAATGACAATAGTAATAATAATAGCTCTTTACTTTGTACCAGGTAACGTTCCAAGCTCTTAACATGATTTTTAAAATTTAATCCAGCCTTTTTTATTTAATATGCATTTTTATTTACTATTAATATAGCCTCTCCGATAACAGGGAGGTTCATATAGCAGAGCACATTACATTAACTGGAACATTTTTCATTTACTAAAGTTGATAGCTTCTCTCTTCAAGAAAGAACATATTTTTGTCACCACTTTTATTACAGAATAAACTGAGATATGGAAAGTTTAGAGATTTGTACTAACATGACTGCATGTAACACTGGCTCCATCAATTGGCCAACCATATTATTTATAACATAATTAACGTGTTTATTTCATTTTTGAAAAGGAAATCCTATCAAATCAAAAATTATGAAAAGAGACTCCCCCCAATTTCATAAGACCAACTAGAGAAATCCCACCATAAGCTGTTCAACAGAATTTTCTAAGTAGTTTGCTTCTCCATTATCATTCCACATAAAATTTAAAACTTGAAAATGCACCCATAGGCTATCAGAAAAATGTCTGTGTGCCTTTGGAGAGAAATGTTACCCAGAAGCAATGGCTCTATTTAGATCTCAAGTATCTGGCCCTATTTTTTTTTTATCTTTTAAGACAATAAAGAATATTAGAACCATAGTTGCATATTGTATTCCATTGCATTTTGGCCCAACCCACATATTCTCCTAAGTCTCTGTATAGTCCATCCAAACTCAAAATCTTAGAAGCAAATAAACTGAAACCCAGAAAGATAAGGGATCTTTTTCCCAAGGACAGCTAGAGAGAGGAGCAGAGCTCACACACTATTACTGAGTCTCCAAATCCCTAGAACAACGATTGTTACACTCGGGCCAGTCAGTAAACAGAATCACTAAAATAGTGATAGCAATTTATATTTCCATCTTACTTCCATGATAATTTTAAATGCACACAGGAAGGAAATCAGGAGCTGTGCTGCACAGGTGATAGTATACAAAGGAGAGAGCCTATACTCTACCTGGCTCTCCGGGCTTTCCTGGGTATCCTGAAACTCCGCTTGTTCCTTGGTCCCCACGGTCTCCCTTAAGTCCTAAAATAATACCAAGAATAACCTTCTGCTAACTGTATTGGTTATGATATAACTAACATCCATGTCACATTCCAGTGCTTCCTTTACCAAAATGTGTAAAGTTAAAGCAGAAAAAGAACTTACTGAACATCATTAGAAATACTTTGTTCCAATTGATGGTAAATCACTTGAAGGAGATTTTGGGGCAGTGCCAATCTCTTCAAACAGAATCCAGCTTCTCCTTGGCATTCCCATACCTCTTCAAATCACTCACAAAACTCATGACATTCTGCCTTGTGTTATGCATGTATGCGTATTTTTCCTATTATGAATATTGAATGACAGTTAAAATGCCCTCTTCTTTAAATACCCCACAACGCCTGAGAAATTGTGTTCTGCAACATGTAAGCTGAAATACAGAGCACAACATTCTGCAGTTGGCTACAACTAATCGTAACAAAAACCTATCCAGGAAAAAAAAAATAGAACATCAAGGAAAGGCCAGTTTTCATTTTGTTTGGAAAATTTTTCAATACTCATCAGACAAATTTTAGAACTGTGAGAATTTGTGTTTGAAAAGAATCTAAAGATCTCAGCTTTTAGATATTTGCCATATTACCAAAAAACAGATTTTTATATTGGGCCTGGGTAAAGGTCTATCCTGTTACAGTGCAGCCACACTAGATTTATTTTAATTGCAAATGACAATAGTAATAATAATAGCTCTTTACTTTGTACCAGGTAACGTTCCAAGCTCTTAACATGATTTTTAAAATTTAATCCAGCCTTTTTTATTTAATATGCATTTTTATTTACTATTAATATAGCCTCTCCGATAACAGGGAGGTTCATATAGCAGAGCACATTACATTAACTGGAACATTTTTCATTTACTAAAGTTGATAGCTTCTCTCTTCAAGAAAGAACATATTTTTGTCACCACTTTTATTACAGAATAAACTGAGATATGGAAAGTTTAGAGATTTGTACTAACATGACTGCATGTAACACTGGCTCCATCAATTGGCCAACCATATTATTTATAACATAATTAACGTGTTTATTTCATTTTTGAAAAGGAAATCCTATCAAATCAAAAATTATGAGAAGAGACTCCCCCCAATTTCATAAGACCAACTAGAGAAATCCCACCATAAGCTGTTCAACAGAATTTTCTAAGTAGTTTGCTTCTCCATTATCATTCCACATAAAATTTAAAACTTGAAAATGCACCCATAGGCTATCAGAAAAATGTCTGTGTGCCTTTGGAGAGAAGCAAAGTCTGAATGGAAGTGAAGGACCAATTCTATTCTGTCTTTGTCAATACTTATATACCAACCTTCATTGAACAGTTATTCTGATTCTCAAGTTCATTTTAGAGGTTTAACTGCTTATATTGAATTTATTCAATCAGGTTGTAGTTAACTAGATGCAGTCATTCAACTCATTTATTTTTTAACTTTCAGTCTCAACCAAGAGTTCAAGCTGAGTCTGAAGTAAAAAGAAAGTAGAGTTACCACTTTACAAAGACTGGCTGAATGAATTTCTACTTTTGATCCTTCATCAAAGCATATTCTTAAGAACCTCATCTCATGATACTTCCCTGTTTTTCTTCTACTTCCAGAAGTATAGCTTCCAAAATGTATGAATTACTAGGGGAGTTCATCACTCATCTTTATTTCACAGGGTTTTCTGCTCACATAATTCAGTCACAAAAGGATTAAATGTTTCTAAGAATGAAAATCACATAACTGACAAGTGTGAAGTAGCTCTCTCTTACCTGAGCATCTTTTTTGAGTAATTACTCCACCGAATGTTCTGCCAGAAATGAGCTAGACAGTTCCTGAGCCATGTGGAGGGTGATGTATAGATGATATTAGGTCTTCTGACATGTGACACTGAGGCTAAATCATTTAACTTGATGGATAGATGGTGTCTGTACAGGCTGCAGTATTCACTGAGAAATTTCTAAATGTCCCAGTAAATCTGTAACCTTCTCTCAATGCCTGACCTTAAGCACTTAAGAACCAGGGATTGTCCAATTACCCAGGGTAGAATGCCCTCTTTGCTGATACATCTATGAGATTATAGAATTTCTGAGCTGGAAAAGGTCTATGAAAGCATACAAAACTACAAATTTTTTTAAATAGTAAATAGGGTATAAAGAAAAACCTAGTCTATTCCCCTCACTTTCCAGATGAGGTAAAGTGAGTGGTCCATGGTCACTGTTATAAGCTTGATTTCTTCTGTTTTAATTCAGTTCTCTTCCCACCATTGACACTGCCCCTGTGTTGAGGGTGAATGAAAGGATATGCTTCTCCTTAGCAGGTAGGCTATCCATCTAAATGGAATTTCTATGGGATTGCCTGCTCTATTTATTCTATCTAGTGTGAAATTAGTTTACATCATAAGAAAGAGCTCACATGGGAGTATTAGGGAAGAGACAGTGCCCTGTGGCTCTCTGTCACTAGATCAGCCCAATGGCCAATGAAAGAAAGATGAATGAGAGTGTGTGTGTGCATGTGTGTGTGTGTGTGTGTGTGTGTGTGTGTGTATGTGTGTGTGAGGGAGAGAGAGATGAAGGGACAACATTCCAGCAGTCCCTTGCCTCATGGAGCTGAGAGTCCATGAAAGACAAACACTGAGCAAATAAACCACACAAATAAATAGAAATTGCCTACAACTATAGTCAGTGATGTAAGGAAAACAGGAGCATCCTATTGAATATTAGGGACGACATACCTACGAAAAAGGCATTAAGCTGAAACCTAATGAACAAATTAGGATTATTGTATATTACACAGATTTAAATTTTCTCAACTGGCTATTTATAAAGTTAAAGTTTTTATACCAAGTGTAACTCACAATATGCTTTACCAAGTGTGTGTGTGTGTGTGTGTGTGTGTGTGTGTGTGTGTATCTCTAAAAGTTATGTATATATAAATATGCTTTACCAACTTTTTACATTTTTAAAAGTTGATCCACATGCAAAAATCTGGTATTTACTTAGCAAGTTGCTCTCCTGAAAAATGATGCAGAATGTAGAATATCTCTTGTGTTTTGTCATGAAATGAATATAATTACCTACCCTTGTCCCCTTTCTGGCCTTTTGGACCTTGGGGTCCAGTGACTCCTGGTGGCCCTGGGATCCCCATATCACCAGCTTCTCCCTTAAGACCTGGAAATGAGATTTTAAAATCATGAGAAGAACTCACTTTTGAAATTCATTAATATTTTTAAAGGACAGTCATTTTATTGAGACAATTGACTGTCGGTATCCTAATAATAAAATCTGGGTGAGAATAAAATATTACAGAGTTCTAAGGACAATATTTTTGTCAGACTTGCAATATTGTACTACCTGAATAGATAAATTGAGCCCATTAGTAGCTGTCACTGGATTCATGGCGACAATCAAATGATTCAGAGAAGCAATGCTAAATCAAAGAGCAAGAACAAAATGATTATCTGACTCTTAACCTCACGCGGACCACACTCTCACAGTGGAAGGAAAACCACCGTATGCAGCACTTTTGGTTTTCTCATTCACTCACGACCGAGAGTCCATGAAAGATAACCATGGAGCAAGTCACCACATAAAGAGACAGAAATTGCCTGTAACTGTAGTCAATGATGTAAAGAAAAATAAGAAGGTACGACTGAATACTGTGGTAAAAGGCCCTGATTTACAGGACTAGGGGAGACATCCCTAAGAATATGGCATTAAGCTAAGTAAGTCCCAATGAACAAATTAGGATTTTCCAAGACAGAAAATATGTAGGTGAGTATTTCAGAAAAAACAAGAGAGGAAAAGACTATGGCATTTTTAAGAAACTGAAGGAGGAGCATTATGGAGTGAGTGATTGAGACAAAGGAGGCTGAGAGGCAAGCAAGGGTCAGATGCTCAGACCTCACTCGTATCTTTGCTCATCCAGGCAGTCCAGGTCCCTTCCACTTACCTGGGCCACAGGGGGACACTAAACCTAGGATAACTATCCTTCCTGCAAGCCATCCCTGTTCAGGCCATAGGAATCATTTCACAACCCCTGATTGAAATCATTTGTAGCCAGGTTCTTTGAAAGTTAACCATCTAGATAAGTACACTCAGTGGACTGGTAATATTTCATCTTCAGTATTATAATAAGGCTGATGGGATGGAGAAAATTGTACCCAGAATTCCTCTTTGAAAGAACACTATTTGTTTGGAAGGAAAACTTTAATTGCTTACAGTAGAGGATAAGGCCAAAGGCAAGCTCAAATAACCAAGCTGGTGGTTAAGCTCCTCTATCTAGAAAAGAAAGGAGAGCAGAGAGAAAAGGAATGGAGAAAGAATGTGCAGAGGAGGTGTAAGCAAGCAGGATGGCCAGTTATGGTTCCCTGTACTGTCTCTCCACTTCCTCATGACCTCCAAATGTGCACTGTGGTTATACTATTTGGGGAATGTTAAAAGCAGTGCCCAGGCTGGCACAGGTAGCACAGAGTGGATGCATACCCACAGCCCAAGGGAAGGGAGGCTATACCTTCACCTAGGTGAGCCGCCCATCCAGGTGGGATCAGTGTAAATACTGTGAAGTTGGCCATGTGGGAAGGTGCGCAAACCAAGTTTGACTTTTACACTCACAGGGTACAACCTCTAGAATTACCTTCAACTGTCTGAAATGAGATTAAATCATCTATTGAACTGTAGTATTTTAACATTTTGTATAAAGATTAGAAATAATACAGTGTTTAACAGGTTTTGGCACATAGTAGGTAGCTATTATCATAACTGGAATAATGGGAGAAACTGGAGATAAAATTGCATACAGAATTTTATCTTTGTTAGCTACTAGATATATCTGCATACATCAAAACATATTCAGTTAGAAACTCTAAAATTAGGCTCATGACTTTATGTATGAGTCAATATGTATTATCTACTTTGAAGTAGATAATGCAGATATGATAGATGCAATGTGTTTTTGTGTGTATGTGTGTGTTCATGTAGTCAAGAACTGAAAGATAATGAAGAAAACTTTGAAAAGTTTGTTTGAGTAGTTCTATTTTCAGATTTAAGTTTGTTTAATGTTGTTGTTATACTAGATTTCTAATTTTAAAAAAGCACTGTTTTCAAAATGCTGGTAAATCTAGAACAAATCTCTCTCTTTGAATCTCAAAAACAGGATCCTATCAGAGTATTTCACCAGATAGGAAAAGACTTCTACTACAGCTAACTGGAAAAATAAACTGCTTATTGAGCATTTATCTATTCCAGGTACCATACTGAATCCTTATATATATATTAGCCCTTTCTGTTCTCTTAAGGACCCCATGAGGTTGGTATTATTCTTATCCCTGTTTACCATTTCAGTAATTGGGACTTAGGTAGTGAAGTTTTCCCAAAGTAAGGCCATGATAGATGATATTCCCAGCTTGTAAGCATTATGCTCTATGGTGGAACCAGTCAGACTAAGACATATGAGGGCCCAGGCAGTCTAATAATTGGCATAAGTTCAAAATATTTGTCCTGTGTATTTCGAAGAGAAACTGAGCTCTGAGAACAAACCAGCTAAATCCACCACTGAGTAAAACAAAAGTCCTAATGTGACAGACCCAGACCTTTGCAGACAGTTGAGCAACCAAGCTATGTTTACTTGACCATGCTTCTGGGGATTTTTAACACCCAGCAGGCTTGCCGGCCAGATATGATACTGAAGGAAATTCTGGTAAATATAATTTTCTTAGTTTTATCACATTTTCAATAGTGTTTTAGCAACCCTGAAATCTTGGTCCCAGACCACTTCTCAGCTCCTTTGCTCTTAATTCCAGCTATGCATAAATATTGGTCACATTATTTATGACCAGTTTCCTTTCCTACAATGGGATGAAATGAGTGAAAGGCTTAATGAGGATGTGTGAATCCTGACTTTATGACTTTAAATTCTTTAGGCAAGACACAACAAATATTTACATGTAATTTTTTTCAGGGAATACGGAATCTGAAATTGACATTCTGATCTCACTTTTATCTTAAATTTTCTAGTATGTGGTATGTAAAAACTCAAATATATTACAATAAAACAAGAATATATTCATAATGTATAAATTAAAGACATCTGAAATTTTGAAATATGTAACATGACAATCAATGAAGAAAATTGCTGGGCAAGGACACATATTGCCTCAGAATTTCCATGAGGAACAAACTGAATGCTGGGCTTTGTTCTCCACCCCACAGGCATTCCATCTCTAATTTTAACACTAATAGCACTCCAAAAATCCATCAGTCAGCATACATTCTTACCAGACAACAGAATACAGTAGACCCCCTTATGAATGGGCATATACCTTCCACGACTATGGAAAGAACTGAACCCTATATATTTTTTTTCTTATACATACATTCCTATGATAAAGTTTAATTTATAAAATAGGCATAGTAAGAGATTAATAATAACTAATAATAAAATAGAACAATTTTAGTATTTAGTTGTAATAGTTATATGAATGTGGTCTCTCTCTCTCAAAATATTATTGTATTGTAGTCACCCTTCCTGTGATGATGTGAGATGATAAAATGCCAAACAATGAGATAAAATGAGATGAATACCGTAGGCATTCTGACATACCATTATGCTACTATTGACCTTCTGGTGTTATACCATATCAGAAGGAGGATCATCTGCTTCTGGATTGTGCTTGACCACAGGTAATTGAAATCACAGAAAGTGAACCGTGGGCAGGGGAGAACTACTTTATTCACTTACCCTTTTTACATCAGTCATTAATGAAAACATTGTACTGTTAGTAAACGTGTAACTTGAAGAACTACACACCAGCACTATAAGGTTGGTAGATCGAGTCTCTCTCTAACCAGCACTATCCAATAGAGCTTTCTACAATGACAGAAATGCTCTTTATTTGTGCTGCCCAATATGGTAGCCATTGGCCATAGGTGGCTATTGAGCCCTTGAAATGTGGCTAGTGTGACTGAGGAACTGAATTTTTTTTTAAGTGTAAAAGCCAATGATATTTTAGTAAATTCATAGAGTTATACAACTATGATACCAAAATAATTCACACCTGCCTTTTCACAGTCAACCCCCACTCCCACCCCAAGCCCCAACAACCACTCATCTATGTTATTCCTCTATAGACATGCCCTTTCTGGAAATTTCATATAAGCAGAATCATATGATTTTTGTGTCTGGCTTCTTAGAGTAATTTTTTTAGTTCATCCATGTTGTAGCATGTATCAGTTCATTCTTGTTTTATTGCTGAACAGTATTGCACTGTATAGATAAACTACATTTGTTTATCTATTCACCAATTGGCAGACATTTGGATTGTTTCTAGTTGTGTCTATTCTGAATCAGACTTCTATGAACATTCGTTTTTTTTGGATGAAGATCTAGGAATAAATTGCTAGTGTGGTGAGTGGCTGCCACATGAGGCAACACAGCACCCATCTGCATCTGTCACCATTTGCATGACAATCGGGAAACCCTTGGTGCAATCTCATCTCTGACCCACACTCACATCTAAGGAGGTACTGGTGAGATAATGGCTTTGTGTATTCTCAAATACCTGGCATTCCAGTCTCTCCGGGTTCTCCTTTTTGCCCTGGTACAAAAGAACAACAATCACAGCAATTCAAAAAGAAATCATGCGTGTCCAGAGTGAGGTTTTCAAAGGGGAAGTGAGTGGCAGCGTCAAAGACAGAATCCACGGAGGAGGGCTCGGAGGCGGGTCCTGCTGCCTCAGCTGCTTCTGGGGAGAGAGTTCCTTTTTCCGGAGGTAGGCCACTGGGTGGCTTTAGACCCTTCAGCACCTCTTCTCTCTCAGATTTCTTCGTAAATTTAGCAGATGGTGTGGTCTTTGCTGTTGTGTCCATGCCAACAATAGCCAAAATAATTAAAATGGCACAAAGCCAAGAAAACATCCACATATTTGAGGCTGGAAGAAAGATACAATGGAGATACATACACATATTACATAAGATCCAGATGAAAACACTAATTGGTATAAATATTTACTTAAGTGAGAGAAATACATACATATATATGAATCATAAGAATGAACAGTATGTAAAATATTTAAAATTTTATGTGTTATTATATAAATGTGTGCTTGAATCACAACAAAATATTTTATTTACTCAAAAAACTTATTATAAGGAACATTTGCTTCAATTCTCCTTTCTGGTTGTTTTTCTAGTGTTACATGTTCTAAAATTTTGTTCTCAGTCATTCAAGTTATCTTGCCAAAGAGCAAACATGATCTATAATAAATGCAACATGACTTAATAGCTCATACACCCTGTGGAAAACAAATATGTATAATTTCCTGACTGACCTCACTCAGATTTATAGGAATCAAATACATTTGTATTAGAGGATGAAAAATATTGAGCTGAACGGTTTATTCCAGCAAACTCAATTATTTCAAGAAAAAATACTGGTCAAAGAGTCTTTAAATCTACTAGGGATAATGGTCCTGTTGTGAAAGCAATCTTTTAGAATCTACTATAATAAATGGAGAGACAGAATTAAAAAATCATGTATTTAAATATATGCTATGTCCTTAGATTCTTCACATGTCATTTAACTCTCCAATTCTTTGCTTTATAATTTGAGTTTTTCTGAAAACTCACATTTATCCTTGTATTATTTCAATGGGGCAGATAGTGGTTATTCTTATTAAGGCTTTTATCAATGCTCAGAGTGATAAGATACATAGTTCCCAATGAAATGAAATCTTGATAGTTCATAGTGTTTCATTTTCCAGCTACTCCCAGCAGTCCACTGGCTATTAACAGATAGCCAGGGTTAGAAATGTACCTTTTTTATTGTGAAAGGAAGGAGAAAATAGGATAAACAGTGAGAGAGTAAAATGAATGGAAATAAAGATAGTAATGACACCTACTTATGTGGAGCCCCTACTGTATGTGGGTGCTGTACACTCATTTAGCCCTTTCAGTTCTCAGAACAGCCAAGTAGATGACATATTATCATTCACCATAACAGATGAAGAAACAGGCGTCAAGAGGTTATTGCCTTGCTCAAGATCACGCAACCACAAAGTTATGAATTCAGCACTTAAATCCAGGTCTGTTCAGTTTCAAGCCTCTCCCACAAACCATGTGATATTTGTATAAAGGTGAGATTATAAGGCATTATATAAAGCATTAGTATATTATAAGGCATTATGTAAAGTGTTATTGTATAATTACATAAGGCATTATATAATATTATATAAGGCATTATTATAAGGAGGAGCTTAAAGAACAATAAATCCAAGGGTAGGATCAATGGAAGAACTATGGAGGAGACAGATATAAATTAGAGCAAATGAGAAGGGACAAAGATAGGATGCTGCATTTCCAAATCAGATAAAAATCCAAAAATGTTAACTTTTCTCTAAGTTGCCTTTGCTACCATATTCATCCATTCAACCAATATTTACTGAATAGTGACAGTGTCACAAGCATGGGGAAATTATATGTGGTGACACTGAACATAAGCCATGTTCTCTGTCCTCAAGTTGTTTACAAGCTAGTAGGAAAGATGAGACACAACAAAAGCAAAGAAGAAAATGTGAAGGGCAGATGATCACACTGCATATCTACAAATACAGACCCCATGTCCCCACTTCTCCCACCCGAGAGAATGAACTCATAAAATATGGTTACCATTCATCAGTCAGCTAAATCCAGCCACAGCAAAACTAGACAATAGAAAATTCTGTTTTTTTGTATATTTTTTAATATATTTTTTATATATTTTATTTTTTATATATATTATATATTTTATATATGTTTTTTATATATTTCTTATATATATATGTATAATGAAATACTACTCATCCTTAAAAAGAATGAAATATATATTTTGTATATATGTATAGTAGAATACTACTCAGCCTTAAAAAAGAATGAAATCTTACAACAACATGGATGGACCTAAAAGGTATTATGCTAAGTGAAATAAGTCAGAGAAAGACAAATATCATATAATTTCACTTATATGTGGAACCTAAAAAATAAAACAAATGAATAAACAAAACAGAAATAGACTCATAAACACAGAGAACAAACTGGTAGTTGCCATAGGGGAGGGGGGAGGGGAATGAGCAAAACAGTAGAAGGAGATAAAGAGGTATAAACTTCCAGTCATAAAAGAGTAAGTCACAGGAATGAAAGATACAGGGTAGGAGATAGAGTCAGTAATATGTAGCAACTTTGTATGGTGATAAATGATAACTACACTTATCATAGTAGCATTTTTATAATGTATATAATTGTCAAAACACTATGTTATACATTTGAAACCACTATCAATGATATATCAACTATATTTCAATTAAAAAGAGAGAGAGAGAAAGAGCTGTTGGGACAGCAAGGGGAGAACTGACATTGAGAACATGACAGGCATTGTCCAGACACTTTATTATTGTTCTTGCAATTACATCACACATGAACCATGCAAGATAAGATTTACTATGCCCCTATAATGGATTATAAAACTGAGGCACAGAGAGGTTCAGTAGCTTGCCCAAGATCACAGTGTTAGTAAGCAGTGGAGTTAAGATTCAAATCTAGGTCCATTTGCCTCGAAAGTCACCACTTGCACTTCCCACTGTGCCATGCTGCCTGGGGATTGAACAGTGGTCAGAAATGCTGCAGAAGGAACTGAGTTGAACCCTTCATGGAGTTCTGTTCTAGGCTCTTGAGTGGAAGAAAGTGATTTCTCATAGACAAGAAACAGGAAGTTAATGGGAGACATGAGACAAGAAGTTTGTCTCTGATTGTGGAACACATTAGGGTGGAGCAAACAAAGTTACAGATGGGAACACAGCACATTCAACAAGGGAACAAAGGGCTACAGAAAAGAATGAACAGAGAACCAATACAAGGAAGGTGCTCCATGTTTGGGGGTATGAATTGTCCTCAGGTATATTTTCCCTGCATTGTGGCTTCCTGCTTCCCAATTTAAATACAGATGTTAAAGAATAATGTAGTCAGTACTTTAAGACTATGTTGAGGCTCCCCAAGAATTTGGAGATGAGGAAAACATGAAGCCCTTTGAAAAACAGTGTAGCAAGAACTGACAGAAATCTGACTGACAGTACATGTATATGATTTCTTTTTTAATTAGATTTTTCATGTTTGTATAAAAACATAAAAACCTAACCAAACAAAACTTCAACAATGAGTCAAGCAAGTAAGAGCTTCTGACCACATTTTAAGTCATTGAAGCAATAAAACATAACTCAAATGCTAACTCTGAAGTTTAATGAAGGTATAAATCTTACTGGAGGGGTTAGAAGTAAGAAGGATCTAAAAGGAGGTTGAGATACATAGTCAACCTAAACACAGTAAGCCCTTTTACTCATCCTGAAGGTTGCCTGGGCTGTTTCAGGAGCAGAAAGTTAGCTCTCTTTTGTTTTGTGCTCCCAGTGCCTGGTATAATGTTTGTAACAATTATGTATCCCATAAATATTTGCTGAAGTGAAATGAAGATAAATGAAGTAGATTGCATTATTGTCTCCAATTGTCCACCCCTCCCTGTAGTCACAGTCTTTGACATATGGATTTTACACCATCTCCCACAAAAGAAATGAGGTCTATATTCCAATCCTTTGACTTTGAGTTCAGTAATGTAACTGTGGCCAATAGAATGAGGTGGAAGTTTCAGGATGCCATTTCCAAGCTGTGTGTTAAAAGCCCTTTTGTATCTGCACTTGTTCTCTTGCACTTTGGCCACTGCCATGAGAAGGATATGTACAGCCGGGCTTGCAGGTCACAGAAGGAGGACACATGAAGCAGGGCTGCCCGAGGTAAGATGCCCTTGCCAGCATGCAGTTTCAATGACAGTGCCCGCTGATGCACAGACATGAGCATGAGCCCAGGTGAGACCAACCAATCCCAAAGACATGTTCTAAACTATCCATTGCTGTGCGACAAAGTACCTCAACCCTTACCATTTCATCATAGCTCACAATTTCATGTGTTAGGAATTTGGGCCTGGATCAGTTAGGTGACTCTTTCGTTCCATGAGGCATCAACCAAGGCCACTCAGCAGTAATCAGCTGGCACATAGGCTCGTCTGGAGGGGCTTCACTACAAGCCTGGTGCCTTGACAGAAATGGAAAGAAGCTGGTCTCATCAACCACATAGTTTCTCTAAGCATGCCAGTCTCAAGATAGTCAAATTTCTCCAATCACACCTCAGGAATCCCAAAGACAGTGTTCCAAGAACACAGAAGCTGCCAGGCTACTTAGGCTGTATCTGAGAACTGGCATAGCAGCACTTTCATTGAGTTTGATTAGTCGCAGCAGTCACAGAGACCAGCCAGACTCAGAGGAAAGGGGCACAGGCTCCACTCGTCAATGATAGGAGTGCCAGTATCCTCTGGCCGTCTTGAATCCATCACAGACATTCAAGCTATAATTCGTAAGCCACAGAGTATTGGCAGGGTTAGGCAGCCAAAACTAACTGATAGCAAACATTCCAGCCACCAGCCTTTTACCACTTATTTGCTACCGTAGAGACAAAACTGACTAACCTGTGTGCTCCTCACCCTCATCAATCATCCCCCATAGTCCTGGAAATCACACCCACTGCAAGTTGTTAAGCAGAACCTGGACCATCCCTTGTAGAGATGCTAAAAGAGCTTCAACCTTGAATGTCCCTCCTGATCTTGAGTCTATGATGTGGTTTTATAAATGTAAAGACCGCATCAATATATGAAAATTAGCTCATACCATAAAATTTCATTCTATATATAGGAGATACTACATTTCTTCTAAAGATGCACTCTTCTCTCTCATTAAGATACTGTCCATGCTTGGGCAGACGTTCTTTGAAGATTCGTTAGTTCTTTTCCCAATAAAAGTGAGTTATTTACATCAACTTAATATCATACATTTATAAGATGACTGGGAAGTT